TTAAACATTTTCTTAGTATTTCAGCAACTTCTGTCTGTCCCCAAATCACCTGTTCTTCTCTCTTGCCTTCTGTATTGTTTTGCTGGTGCTGTGGTAACAGGGTTGACTGGATTACAACCTTGGAGGCCAGAAGTGTGAAATCCAGGTGTCACAGGGTCGGTTCTCCCTGAGGTCTGTGAGGGAGACCTCTTCATGCTAGTCTCTCCCGGCTTCGATGCTATGACTTCATCTTTATTTATTTCAGTGTGTGTATAGACACTGTCCTCAGAGATATTTGGGCAATATGACCTAATTGGATCTTGGAAGGGTAGAATTCCACGCACTGAATCTATGGTGGAGATAGCAAAGCTTAAGCAGACTCTAGTATATCAAAAAAACATTTGTTTATTAGTGATATACATTAAACAGATATTTGTTTATATTTATATGTAAAGAAATATTTCTTGCTTTGTCTAGGTTCAGTATCACAGTTATAAAAGTTTATAAAATAAATTAGTGGAGCATTTCTCTTTTTCTTCCTTGGCAGAGTTTTTCTAAGGTTAATTTTATGTACCTAGAATTTGCCTGTAAAGTTTTCTAGTGTTTTCATTCTGTTTTGTTTTGGTTGTAGGTATGCTCAGAATTTGTTATTTATAAATTAGGTTAAGATACATCTTTGTAAGATCCTCTTCAACTAAGCTTTCAGATGAACTGTGCTCCACAAATATATACATGTATTATCCTCTAATTAAAAATAAAATAATACGAACTTAACAAAACTAATGACACAAAATTGCTTATGGTATTGTTTGAAAAGTTTGTGTATCCTCTACTGAATCTATGGTTAAGGGCCACATTCCATTACTGAATTTATGGATCTTCACTATTTTTAATTCCTTCATTTTTATAGCTAGAAACTTGTACATTATGTATAGTATTTAAAAAATTTCAACCTTTATTTTAGCTAATCCTTTCTATTTATTTTATTTTTATTATACTTTTCATCATATTTTGAACTTTTCTATTCTTATTTGAACATCTTTTTTTTTTTTGGTACTGGGGATCGAACTTGGGTCTTCGCGCTTGAGTACCGGGTGGCAGAACCACTGAGCTAAATCCCCGGCCCAATAAGTAACTCTGTCCCTGTAAGTAAGGTTTTTTTTTTTTTGGTACCGGGGATGGGCAGAACCACTGAGCTAAATCCCCGGCTCTGAACAGCTTGAGTTAGACACAGCTTGCTGGTCTTCTCAGCAAATCTCATCTTTTTCCTCCTTTTCATCTTCTTTCTCCTCCTCCTCCTCTTTCTTCTGTGGTACTGAGGATTGAGCCCAGGAGTTTTGAATTGAGGCAGAATGGAAATTGGTCAGTTAGGTGGCGGCCCTGTGCAACAGGCCAAATGGTGTTAGGAGGATGAGAGAGATGCTGTGGGCACCAGGAGAGGGCTGCCACCCTGGACGCAGTTCAGAAAGGCCCCCTGGGAGAAATAGCCCCAAGCTAGGGCCTGACATGTCAGAACCTGGACTCTCAAGGTGCATTCGGCCCCTGTGGTGAGGAGCAGCTGTGCCGAGGCAGACAGCAGGGAGCCTTCTGTGAGACCAGAGCAAACAGGCAGGTTGTAGCCAGTGACCTGGCTAGATGGTGCCTTGGGTGAGATGGTGGAGCTGGTTGTGTTTTCCAAAGATGCCCATGGCAGAATCTCCTACCCACCTGCTGGCATCATACCATGTCTCTGGATGGACTTTTGTGACTGCCTAAAGAACACAGTGGCAGAGGCACGGTGGAACTTAGAAGGTTGGGGCAGAAAGACAACAGTACAGTCTCCATCCTGCTCTCTGTTGGGTGCTCGCTCTAGAGGCCACTTGCAGGTGTGGCTGAGGCCCCAGTGAGGTGCTAGCTAACAGCCAGCATGGACCCCCAGGCAGACAAGCAAGAATGCGAAGATGACCCCAGCCCCAACCCCAGCTGCTAAAGTTGCATGAATGACCCAAGCGTGGACCACCTAGAGGCCAACCTTCAGAACCATGAGGCACGATAAGACTAAAGGATGTGGCTGTACACAGCTAAGTCTGGGGTGGTTCATTACATTGCAATTTATGACTACTACTACTTATCAAACAGTGATCAAGGATAGACGTTCCAGGCCAGAGAGAGGTATGGGTGGCTTGATACTAGACTGGAATAAGGAGGAGTTGGCACAGGGCAGAAGGTGAGAAGAAAAGGGAATGGAGGAGGGGAGAGGAGAGGAAAAGAGAGGAGGGGACGTGAAGGAAGTGAAGGGAGGGGATGCGAGGAGAAGAAGAAGCGCTCTGGACGGAGGAAAGCTGAGAAGGACAAAGAAAATACTGTATGAAAAGCTGAAGAGCAACCCCACATTGGATGCGGCAGTTTCCACAATGACCACTAGATGGCAGCACGACGGCAGCTATGAAGCCCAGGCCTGCCCCAGGCCCTGAAGCCACGGATCTAGCTGTGCTCTGCGGTGGGCATCTTCCCAAGCAGAAGTTGCCCACTGGGCCAGGAACAACCTTCTCTATGTCTCCTAGAAGGCTTCTGGTTAGAAGTAAGAGAAACCCCAACTGGACTCAGGCTAGACAGTAAAGGAGTCTTACTGGTGTGGGGAACCAAAAAGTCTCACCAAAGGGCCGATGGGGCAGACACTGAATTGCTGACCCAATATTAAGCCTCCCTCTTTACCCTCAGTTACAGATCCTGGATACTGTTTGGACTGCAAAGTGTCCAAGGAAAGTGGGCCCCTCCCCATCTACCGAAAAGGAGCCGTGACGGGTACCTCAGTCCTGATAACCTCAAGTCCCCCTGGGAGTGACTGGTTCAGGGGTGGGTGTGCAGCCTGTTCTGCCAAGGGGGGCTGGAAATCTGTTGGGGGCTTCTGAGAAAGTCATCCCTGTCGGATGAGAAGAGGATCACAGGATGAGAAACCTCTCTCTTCTTTTTCTGTTTGCAGAAAAGAGCTGCTGCCATGAGCTTGTGATCATAAGCAGAAACACCGCTAACCCACTGGAGATTCTAAAATCGAAGTGCCCCTTGGGTCGGGGATATAGCTCAGTGTAACCACACCTGCCTGGCAAGTGCAAGGTCTTGAGTTTGATCCCCTGTACTGGAAGAAAAAGTGCCCAGATCACTGACGATATTGTTGAGCCACTGAACTAGCCCTGGAACTGCCTGTTCTCAGACTATTAGTTACATGACAGGATATAATATTTATTGTGGAAGTCAGTTTTAGCTGAGTATCCTGTTACTTGTAGCCAAATGCATCAAACCAATACAAGAACTTCAGGTACCATGTGACCAGGTCCAGTTGGATTCTCTCGAATTTTCTTGACTTTGCCCCATCTGTCTCAATGTATCTTTAGGCTGGTGTTTCTTAATATTGCAAGATGGTTTCCAGAAGCACCCAGGGCTTCCTATGCCCTAGCCTTCATCTGAGAGGAAAGAGTGTATTGATTCAACAAACAGCAAACAGAAGCCTGGAGCCAGTGCCCTGACTGGGGGAATGTGCTGTTGACTTAGCCTGCAATCTGTACCTGGAATTGCCCTGATCCATGAGTCAAAAGGATGAGATAGCTCAGGTTGAGTAAGACCAAGGGGTGGATCAGTTCCACACAGTCAGCACAGCCTGCCTGTGACACACCTGGAAGGGAAGTAACTCCAGCATCCCCTGCAGCAGGAAAGCATAGTGTGAGGGCCCCATTATCCTTTGCTCTTGTTTGGTTTATATATTCTGCTTCTATAGGTAATTTCATTTTCAAAGGGCCACTCAGCTCCAGCTGCTACTTGAGAGAAAGAATGGAGTACAAGAAGGTTTGGGAACCAGGCTGCAGAGTCAGACTTGTGGCTCCTATCCTGAGTCTTTCACTTTGTCTGTTGTATGATTGTAAGGGAAGCACTTAAGGTTTCGGAGCCTCGGCTTCCTCATCTATAAAATAGGATGCAGAGAGCAGCACCTTTTCTTTTTTCTTAAATTCTTTCATTGGTACATTTTAGGTATACCATATGTTTACATTTATCATTGGGTGCTTGTGCCTGTACATGATGTATCTTGGTTCTTATTTTTTCCCCATTCCCTGTGTGCCCTTCACCCCCTTGACCCTTCCCTATTTACATAGACTTTGTTTCTATTTTTTTCTTTTCTCATAATTTTTCCTTTCCCCTTCGCCTCCCATTTCCCCTACCCCTTTGGACCTTTTCTTCCTATTTCAAATGATCAATTATTCATTTTAATCATTTTAATCCTTATTTACACTTTCAGTTTCTCACACCAGAGAAACCATTCGGTATTTACACATGTGTGTCCTATTTATTTCACTTGTGAGTATGGTCTCAATATGCATCCATTTAGCTATAAATGCCTCCAGTTTCTCATTCTTTATGGCTGAGTAGTACTCCATTTTATAAAAAAACCACATCTTCTTTATCGAGTTTCCAGTTGCTGGGCACTTGGGTTGTTTCCAAGCTTTTTATTACAAACTGGAGCAGCACCTTTTCTTCGGACTGTGAGGGACATGGAGAGGATGGTTTCAGAGGTGCTAGCAGGGTCCTGGACACCCATGCCAGACAGTGTTGTCCCTCTCACCAATGCTCATCGTCATTGCAATCGTGTCTGACACAGGGCTTGCTGGGTTAATAATGCGCTGGCTAAACAGGCAGAACTAGACTCTTCCCCCAGAAAACATGGGCAAAATTAGTATAGAGTTTGAACTCAGGCCCTTTGCACCAGCTTTCACACCCTCTGTGGCCACGGAGACTCAAGAGGCTTGAGTGGGTGCTCTCTCTGGAGCCTGATTTTCCACAGTTCACAGTCTGGCAGCCACAAACCTACTTCTTTAGTCTGTACTCTTTCTTCTTTTTAATGAAGTCGATGTTTTAAATAAGAGAAAATCCATTTTCTGGCTTCTTTAGAAAAGACCTGACAGCAACGCAGAACCCAGAGCCAGTCGGAGCGCCCTCTAGTGGCCACGCCCCTCCAGGGGCTGTGGCCCCGCCCCCTCCCTCAGCCCTCCTCCCCCACAGCGGCCCAGTGGTCTTCCCTGGGGCCAGAGTCGTCCCCAGACTTGACTCACTCCTTTTATTGTTGGGAACCAGCCCAGGGAAATCGCAAGGGTCTCGCTGTGGTCGGAGGCCTCCCTGCTCTCGCTCCCACTGGCTGTGGACATTTCCAACAGGACACCTCTTTGCCGTGATGAGGTAGCCATGTTCATCCCCAGGCCTTCATTGAGGCCCTGCAGCATAGAGGACAGGACGATGACATTACACCGGTGATGCCCCGAGGGCCCCTTCTCTCAGGAGCTCCCGTTCTAGAGGGGAAGGGAGAGGAAGACACATGCAGCCTAAGCCACGTGCTGGCAAGAGGGGTCATGCTAGAGTGGAGTCGGGGGGGACAGAAGTGGTCACTGTGGGAGAGGCGGTCAGGGAAGCCTCCCAGCGTCATCTCAGCCCTCCCTCCAGTTTCCCCAGGCTTGCTCAGGGCTGAGCACATGGAGTCTCAGGGCTCATCCTCCCTAGAGAGTCCCCAGGGTCTCACGGGAAGCTTTCTCTGTCTCCTTCACCCTCCTCCCCATGCCCACTAGAGTTGCTCACCACCATCAGGAGGACACGTTCGAGGAGGCAGGGAGCTGTCTGGGGAACGTCCTGTGTGATCATCAATCCTGCTGAGCCGTCTGCTCCAAGTGTCCAGAGAGGCTGCAGTTTCTTACTGAAAGTGAAAATGAACGCACAAACTTACAGGGAGGTGCTCAGCCTTTACTCCTCATCAAGTTGGAAGGGTGAGGGCTGTGTCTTTAAATCTCTCTCTCTCTCTCCCCTCCCTCCCTTTCTCTTCCTGTCCTCTCAACTTCTGGGAGTCAGGCCTGTTTTGGAAGAAGCCAAATTCCAAGTTGCTCTCCTCTCTTGATGGGAGTGTGGGGATGAAGCGTGAATCCAGCCAGTGGCATCTCTTGGCTACATGGAGGACAGAATGCAAATGGTTCTGTGCGGGGATATGAAAAGGCACTGCACATTCTGCACACTGGGACTCTGGGCTCAGCCTCTTGCTGGGCAAAGTCCATGAGGACTGGGGGTTGGTGGGAGAATGAATCCATGCAGGGGCAAAAGCAGGACCTCTGGCTGCACTGTTCCTCTCAGTGCCAGAGAGAGGGACCTGAAAAAGGCTGGCACTCCCTCCCATCCCCGTGACAACATGACAGAGTCAGAGCCAAGGAGAAGACAGAGCTGGCAGTAGGCAGAAGTGAAGATGACATCTTAGTAACATTCCCAGGAAATTCTGCTTGGAGAGCCTTTCAACAGGATAAGACCACATGGGGTTAACTGGTAAGGTAAGCTTTGAGAGTCTTGAAGTTTACTGGGGAAGTGGCCACTCCACCAGAAAGAATAGTCTGAGAGAATGTCAGGGCTAGAAAAATCTCTTCTACCTCCCAGTTTCTAGGTGAGGAAACTGAGGCTGAGAGAACATGGCCAACAGGTCCCACATCACACAGGGAGCCGCTGGCAGAGCTGGGAGTCACTGGACTGGTGTGACCTCGTGCTGTCTATGCTATCAGTTGGTCCTGACTCAGTCTTGACTCTCTGTAGACATCAAGTCTGACATGTCTGGGGACCACAGGGATGGGGAAAGGGTGGGAGCTGACACAGTCTCCCAAGAAAATGCTCTGTCTCAGACCCCTCCACCTTATTCCTGGGCAGGGATTCAGCACTCAGTTCAGCTGGACAGTGCCACCATGTGGGGGGATCCCGCGTCCTTTGAAAAGTGGATGGCTTCTGAGGTGTCAAACAGCTTCAGTAAGCAGAGAGATCTCTGGTTTGGGATGTTTGCCTAGGATTACAGCCAGATGCTAACATCAGGTAGGTGGGCTTTGGGAAGCAGGACCTGCTGTCCCACTGGTTGGAAGGGGCAAACAGACATGTTTGAAAATGAGCCGAGGTCTCCTTTTCTACCTTGGTTCTCTTGTTCTCTGGTCTGTCACTCTCCCCATGGCAGGGAATTTGAGTGCTTGCCCAGCTCAATACTTACTGTGCTTTGGAGTTGCAGGGTGCTCTGCTGCTTTTCCAGCCACGTGACTGGTCACCAGCCGAAGTGAGAGCTGTCACTTCCTGGCTGACGTATTCACCTGCCAGTTTGAGGCCTGTTCCGACTCCCTTCCTCCACTGCATGGGTCATGGAAACACATATTGAGAAGTTCGGCTGTGAGACTGAAATGGCCTGGATCTTGGGTCACAAAGTGGAAGACAGTCACCCCTGAAAGACAACACTGTGTGAGTGAGCAATTCACTAATGTTTGGGGGTCCTTTGTTAATGCGCCAAAACCTTGTCCAGCCTGATGAGTGCCCATGGATTTCATCTTCATCCAACAGTAATGTCTGCAATCAAAAAGTGTTTAAGATGCCACTTTTGAAAGATGTGTTCTCCAACCCAGCCGCATTCCTGTCTCTGTCCCCTGTGCTCTGGGCAAGGACAGCAGCCCAGAAAGTCTTGCCTCCCTTTGCACCTCCACAATGGCTGCTGGAGAAGCATCTGTTGCCAGCACTGGATCCTGAATCAGCTGTTAGACAGAGGCAGCATGTGGCACCCTGCAGGGGAGGTAACATTTAATTTATCCTGGCAAACAAAAGCTTTCTGGGTTCCCAGGAAGAGGCATCCCTAGATCCCTGACCCCTCTTCTCACCTTATTCAATCTCTGCAAATTAGAGATCTCATTCAAAATCTTCCTCCAATCCTACCCAGGCTGTCCTCAGGCCATATAGAGTTTTTGTGTAAATTATAAAAAGCTAAGCTCCTCTTAGATTTTATTTACTAAACTTTTCTAAGTATACAAATCTAGGCTGTGATATGAATAGTAATTCCTAGGACCATGCAGTGCACAACCTGTGCATCTCTACTAAGCAGTCTTGGCCATTGCTCCCTCCTCCCTGAGTTCACAGAGACTTTTAACTTCAATAGGAATAAGGTAGTAGGCCCTGCCCTCTGGTGCCAGGATCTCCTTTCTGTCTGAGCACCTGGGATGGCCTCAGGCTCCTTCTGGGAGCCCAAACTGTGCTGGGAATGGCCTTTGATGATGCTGTAGTAAACAGGGATGTCATCCTGGGCTGGCACTTGGGCTGGGCCAGACGACACTGAAACAGCTTGTGGAAGGCCTCGAGGAAACGCTGGGACATGAGCGCATAGACAATGGGGTTGACAGCGCTGTTCAAGTAGATGCAAAGGTGGCAGAAGAGAAGGAAGCTGAAGTCAAGGTAGGGTGGGATCAGGAAGGAATTCACCACCACCAGGGTTTGGTGGGGCAGCTGCAGCATGGCAAAAAGGACCACCACTATGGCCAGCATCTTGGTGACCTTCCAAGGAAGAGGAGAGAGGGGATGCATGGGTGCCAGGGGAGAATCCAACCCAGACAGCTAGATAGCATTGACTGTTGTCCAGCTGTGCCTCATATGTGCTTCCTTTCAACTCTGCCCCCACTCAGAAAACTCCTGTGCATCCTTCCTTGCCCTGTGCAAGTCATTTGTTCCTGGGAAACTTCCTGGCTCCAATCCTCCTCCAAAGCCTTTGGATGGGCCTCTAGTTCCTAAAAACAAATTGATGAGCCAACTGGGCCCCAGCATTTGTGCCTGTGAGGTGGAAACAGTTCTGCCTTCACTGCAGGTGCTGTGAGGATTGAAGGAGTTAATGCAGGCCAAGCACGGAGCCGGGCAGGCTGTGACTGGTACGTGAGGGGCTGCTGAAGCCACTGGCAGCTCTACCATAGCCTCTGTCACAGCTGCATGCACACAGCTGGGCCGGGATCCCAGCTCCACTGCTGGCCAGCTGTTGAATGTTGGGTCAGCATCTCTCCAGCCACAGGGTCCTGTCCCCACCATGCCCAGCCACACACTCCCTTCCGGTCCTTTCCTCTCTCCTGCTCCTTCCGCCCAGAGGACCTGCCAACCTGGGAACCGCCTCTGGTCCCTCCCTCCTGTCAGCTCCTGGCTCTGCAGATCTGGCCACCACACTGGACAGCCTCGACTACACAGAGCCCCCGGAGACGTCATGCATCAAAAGATACAGGGCTCTAAATTCCAGGACAAAAATGCCACAGGGGACATCTGTCAAAGGGATGTGAGGCCATTGCTGGCACTGGAGAGGATCATGGGGCTTCCGTCCCTGTGCCTGCTTCGAAAGTCCCCCCTGACCTCTCGGCGAGCAAATGTTGAGTGGCACAAGCTCACTTCCTGGAGCCCGAATCCCCTGACTAGCCCTGGTGCTGCTTCTGCCTAGAACATCCTGGGTCCATGGCATCAGCTCAGGGGACTCCAGGAGAGGCTGCTTTCTCACAGGAAAGAAGCCAGTGCAGAGGGCTGCAGGGTGTGAAGGCTTCTCCTGCTTTAGTGAGTCCTGTTTCTGCGAGTGGTCTCTCCAAAAGGCCCAAACCAAGCCAACAAACCTCGGAGCTACCATGTTCTCCAGGAGCCATGGAATCTTGGAAATGACCTTGTCAGTATTGACTCCTTATTTTACCCAATTCAGATTTAATTCCATTCTTTTGGCGCATCTGGGTGATAAACACTGGAGAGGAGAGTGTGGGCTCTGGAATCGGGTTGCCTGGATTCGAAAACAGAGGAGGACGCATGCTCGGAGGGGTGAAGTGACTTATCCACCGTCACAGAGCGAGTCATCATTAGCAGAGCTGCGGCTGGCACCCAGGGTGGAGTACTCTTTACCACCAGCAGTTACTCTTCTCCCCAGTTTGCCCCCGGCCCTGCCAGGCTGAACTGGAAAGCAGTGAGCAGTGTAGTCAGCAGGTGGGCGGGAGGGCGGAGGAGCATTGGTCCTCTCTGAAGCAGCGACGGCCAGCAGCCAGGGGTTAATATTTCCCAACATCTCAGCCTCTCCCTGGCTGAAACTGCTTTGAGCCGAGGTGCCGAGGTGCCGGCAAGCGGGGCAAACAGAAGGAGCTGCCGGCGGCGTTGGAGGGAGCCCCCTGGAGGCCACCGACCCAGAGTCACAAGGGTGGCACCGAGGCAGGCAGGCAGGTGGCACCCATGGTCCTTGCCAGGCTCCGTGAGTGACTCGGCTGGGCGGTGCCTCTCCCCTCCCCTCCCCCAAAGCTCCAGGTGGAGGCAGGCGGAAGGCTGAGGATGAAGACGGCCGGGCCCAGGAGCTGTCCACCCTCCCGCGGTGCTGAAAACCTCGAGATTCCAGGCTGCAGAAGCAGGGTGGGGGTACAAGGAGCCTCTCTGCGCGCCCTTCCTCACTCCTTGTTCCCCATGAGCCTCTTTCCTGGTCCATAAGAACAGCTATTAACTTTCTGAGAAGGGGTAACATGGGCACAATCACAAACCAAGCACACAACGAACGCTCACGAAACGCTTTGTCTCTCTCCACCGCACGAAGACCCATCCCCATCTCCGGCTGTCAGCTTCTCCCAGCCCACTGAGGCAGCTTTAGTGTCAGACAGAGGGGCATGCTCTTGAGAAAGTCTCCTCAACTCACCCGAGCCTCAGTTTCCCCAGCGGTAGAAGAAAATGAACCACTGCTGTCCAAAGACAGTAGTCACCTACTGAGTGTTTAGTTGTGACATGCAATGGGCTAAAGACTTTAGAGGGCTTATCTCATTTCTCTGAACTGACAATACCTGGTACAACGGAAGAGGAAAGTGAGGGTCAGAAAGGCAGGAGATGTCTTCCAAAACCCAAACCTAGTAAGTGGTGCAACGGGGATTTGGACTAAGGCGTCTGACTAGAGGCGGATCTTGCACCCATCTCCGCTGGCTCAATAGAAGGGTCTGGTGAGGACCCAGGTTCGACCTGCTTCCGAGAGTTGAGGGCGCCCTTCCTGCGGGTGGAGAAGCTTGCTTGGCGGGAGGGGCCGTCCTGGTGCGCAGAACCCGAGCGGCCGGAGTGGCCAGCAGGCAGCGGTCCGGTGAAGAGCACACGCGCTATGAGCTAGGCTCAGCGGCAGCGCGTAGAAGAGCACTAAGTCCCGGAAGCAGGAAGCAGACCGGCAGGTAGAGAGCGCCAGACCCCGGGCAGCCGCCCTGGACCTGCACGCCGTCGGCGTACACTGCCTCACGCGTGTCCACCAGGAGGCGCCAGAGCGCGCAGTGGGCGCCTTGCCCAGCCGCATCCACGCTGCCAGGCGCTTGGCTCGCGCCACGGTGCACAGCGCCTGGGCGCGCAGAGGGCGGCAGATGGCGAGGTAGCGCTCCACGGTGAAGGCCGTGAGGGAGCCGGTGGAGGTGCTGATGCCGCCGACGTACTGCAGGTAGGTGTTGCCCAGGCGGCCCGCGTGGCCGAAGACCCAACCTCGGGCGGGCGCCGCCTCAGCCACAGTGGGCACTGCGGCCCTCAGAAGTACCGGCAGATCTGCTGCGGCCAGGCTCACCAGGTAACAGATGGTGAGTGTGACCATGTGGCGGCCCTGACCACCACCAGCACCACCGTGGCGTTGCCCGCCACACCCACGGCACATACGCGGGGCACCAGGGTCGGAGTCATCGCCTGCACAGCCAGCGGAGCCCGGGGCATGGTGCCCAGGCCGGACGCGTTCGCGTGACCTTCTCCGTGCGTCCCGGCCGCGCTGCGGGCTGCTGGAATGGTCTCCAGGCAGGGAGCTGGGCTCCCACGGCTGGATCCAGCTGAACTGCTTCTTCCAGTTGTGTAGGGTCTAAACCGCTACTGCGCAGGCCTCGAGGAAGCAGGAACTGGAGTAACAGGCGCTCAATTTTCAGGAAGACTCAGCTTGAGTTAGTGCGATCTCTCCCGGGGCGGGGTTTACCCAGAGGCGCGTTCTGACGGTAGGGTTGCTCTCTAGTCCTAATCGGGCACCTGGCTTCCGCCTCCCGTAGCGTGGAACGCCTGGGCCCTTCCCGTCTCACCTCTGCTCCAAAATTCGAAGGGCTTCCGGGTTCTAGAACCGGGCTGTCGGTCAGGAAAGCGGGCTGTAGGTTCCTGTGGCCGCCTCCGGCTGCTCCTCCGCAGAGCTGCTGTGTCCCCTCCGAAACCGTCGCTTCAGCCTAGCATCTGTTCTCCCCATCAGCTCATGGCACTGAAGCCCGCAGCTGCTCAAGCGGGCTGTGTGGGATGCGGAGGGGAAAGCGCGCTGCTAACCCGCGCAGTGTCCTAGTCCTTCTGGGCCTTTGCCCTGGGCCTTCTCTCCCTCTCTTTTCTCTTCTGCAGGAGGGGCTCCACGGGGCTATACGGGGGGAGCTGGGACTGGCAAGGCTCCCGACACAATCTGGGAATTCGTGGAGTTCTCACCAGCAGAAACTTGAGCCCTGCTGCGGATATGTGGGGAAAGGCCCTCTGGATTTGGGTCGGTCCTGCCTCCTGTTAAGCTTTCCATCTTCTTGCTACCTTTTGACGTTCTCCTCTTTACCTTTCCCAGTTTTTCTTCCTCCTAAAGAAGAGTTGTAAATTCTTGAAGGAAGCACCGCACATTCCCACAGGGCCCTCTCCCATCTCGAAGGCTGCCACTCAAAAGCCACAAACCAGTTAGGAATCTTTAGCTTTCTTGGTACAAAAGATGAGGGTAATGAGAGTTGAATGAATAAATGAACGACGTTTTCTGGATTCAAGCATGCGTCCTGAAGGGGGACACACCAAGCTTTGAGTGGAGCCTGGTTCCCTGCCCGCACTTAGGTGCTGAAGAACTGTTCGCCACGCCAATCCATCAATCATGTTCTCTACAAATTCTTTCTTCATTTGTGAAATGAGAATTATAATAAGAGAATTCACCTTGACCCTCAGAAGGCTCACATAAGAGAGATGGATAAAATCCATGTAAAATGCTCGTACTGGGCCTAACCATAGCAAGGGGTGGATAGACTGGTGATTATAGTTTCAGTGATATATGTGTCTATATCCCCTTCTCCTCACTCCTTAATG